ACATATTCTTTGCTTAAATTTCATATTGACCAAAAATTAAATACAATATTTATATGTTATCTCTCAAAATGAAAATGCTGAAGTCTGTAAATAAAGCATTTTTATTTTAATTGTAGTAAATTAAACAAGCCACACTACTGTAAAATAGGCTGAGAATTTGAGAGGTTCTTGTGCACTACTGATTTTCCAGCATAAAATTTCAAGCAAACATTTTCATTTCTCGTGATTACCAGATTTATTCACTAGGCTTGACAAAGAAGTATGGTCATTTGTTCAGATTTTAAAAAATGGGTCAGACCATAAATTTCCAGCATCTCCTCATATATATTTTTTACTTTGTTTATTACATTCAATGATGCCGAAAGGTCATGAGAGATGCATAATTAGTTGGTCAGAGGTGTATTGTTATTATGCGATTTCTGTTGGTCTGGCAAAATGGATAAACTGGCATTGTTCTGAAACTAAAGGAGGCTGACAGTAGTCAAGATCATAGAATAAGTATGATTGTCATTGCACCTTCTTGGACTAATGTTTTATGCTGACATGAAATGGGAAGATCATATTGAATCCATTGCTAGACCTGCTGCTAGGAAATTTGGTTCATTGTGTTGTGTTAGATAATTTTTCTCACCACTTTGCATCTCAGCTTCAGTCACTTTCGCATACCCGAATGTAGCTTCTCTGTGGATTTTCCATAAATACTTTCATAGTAATTGTTCTGATGAGATTTTCTCTATGGTACCAAGACTTTATGAATTTAAGCAAAGTACGAGATTGGCAGTAAGATCTCATCATTGTACAATTGAAATGACTAGATGTAACTGTAAATTTTATGCTAACAGTTTTTTTGCACTTCTCGCTTGTGGAACTCTCTTCTGGCTTCTTGCTTTCCAGTCAATTTTGATCTTCAGAAATTTAAATGCAATTTCAATTGTTATCTTCTTAATTCTTGTTATTTTATTGTTCTTTCTCCTTAACAGTGATTTTTCTCATATTGTCTAACACTCAGTAATCCCTTGCATCTTAGTGGCTTTGAAATGATTTAAAAAAAAAAAAAAAAACTCCGTTATTCTCTCCTTAATTGTATAGCATGTGCATCACAAGGGATATATATGGTTTTGAATTCAGAATTGTTCTAGATTGGTTGCTAACCAAGACTGACGAACCCAGACTGCTCTGGTATTTAACCCATAGCTAGGGAGATGAAGAAATGGATTTCATACCATGCCCAAGAGTATTTTCACATAAATGAAATTAAGGAAATTGAATGGAATTTGAAGTTAGCTCTCGGTTTTTTTCATTCCAAGCCACTATCCATTCTTCTTTTCTTTTTATGTGCCATGTCCTTTCAGGATGTAGGTGATCATGGCTCTCCACCTCTCTCTATCCCTTACAGCTCTCAATAAGTTCCTTCCCTCTGCTTCCTCCCTTAGACCATGTTCTGTCATTCACTTGCTTAATCCCGCTAGGTATGTCATGCATTGTTTTTCTTTGTCTCTCTTTCTCTCTATTTGACCTGTGAGTATCAGATTCTCCAGGCCCTCCTTCCTCATTATGTGTCCCAGAAGCTTCAGCTGCCTCTTCCTGATGTTAAGTATAAGCTTCCTCCTTATTTGCAACCTCTCTAAGATCCCGTCGTTGCTCACACGCTTGGTCTATGATATCCTTAGCATCCTTCTGTAGAAACAAATCTCTGTTGCCTTGAGTCTCTTCTTCATCTTTGAGGAAATCGTCCAACATTTCTGCCGTAAAGAAGGACAGATATCACATAACAGTTCAGTATTCTTTTCTTTGTTACCAAAGAGATCCTCCTGTCTTGCAGTACTCTTCCCAATTACACTATCTATATATCCAAGTGAAATCAAGTGTGACAGAAAATCAGGAATGTGCCTCTAGTAGTATGATGAGATATGGAAAAATATTTTGTCCAAATGATTAAGTATTAGTTAATTTTCTGATTAAATTTTTTTAATTTAGAGAAAGGGAAGTAAATTTTTTTTTTTAAATATTTCAAACATTTCTTTAAACCTCAATATTAATGGGGAGTAAGTAAAATGCATAGGATTTTAAAACGGAAAAAGATTTCATTCAATCAAAACAAATACAAAAGAAAAATGCAAGGAGTTGAAACAAAGCTGCAATCAATAGCAAATAAAACAAATACTTAAACATTTTTTTCATTTTGTTCACAACATTAACAAGAGAGGGAGATATGACTTGACACATCACAAAATATTTCCAACTTCCACAAACAATGATAATATTTTTTTGTTTGAATGTTTTTTTTTTTTTAATATTTTTTTTTTCTTGCATGACGTGACATAAAAGTCAATGTCCAACCTTGTTGATCCATTTTTTCCAACTGATCCATACGCAAACAACGGAGACTGCAATGATCATGTAATGTTCCGGTCCTGGGATTGAGAACAAGAGCTTGGCTGCATCCTGAACGTGAACATTTGCCTACAAAAACATAACCTTGCAGTCAACTCATCCCAAACATCTCAGGAAATTTTCTTCTCCCAAACATAATAATTAAAACACAAAAAAGAGAACATTGTAGAGTTTTAAACTTTTGCCAAAAAACATACTTTATCCATTTTTAGGATGTAGGTGATCATGGCACTCTGCAGTTTTCTTTTCTTTATTAACTGTACATTGCCACAACTTCTTGGAAAAGATAGCAAAGTGATTTCCCAGGATTTGTGTACTCCATGTATTTGTATTCAATGTAGTTCCCCTCTTAGACTGACTGCCAATCAAAGATAGAGAAATCAGTCTACCCTGCTATTTAACCCATAGCTGGTAGAAATGATGGATTCATGCCTTTCTAAAGGCCATTTGTGAAAAAGTGAATGCAACAAATTAGGTGAGAATTTGAACACAGCTTCATCTTTTCACCATTCACATCAATAACCATTACACCACTTGCAATAACACTCATACTTATTTCTCTGAAATTTTTTTTCTTCAAACTGGAAAAAGCACAAGCAAATATAAAGTCATAATTTATATGACTCATTCAAACAACACTTTTTATATGACTAATATTAAAGTAACAGTTATTAAATATTTCAACAGTATTAGAAATCTTTTTTCCAAATCTGACTGATATTTCATGCAAAGTTCTTTTGTTCTGGAGTAACAAAAAATCTTGTCTTGTGTTCTATTAATGATTCAAAACAATTCATCGATGGTGATGAAAGCAGTGAAAGCAATGATTGTTCTGAAGCAACTGATGAGATATCCCCCCCACTATGACATCACACTAATATATCCAATTCTCAAAGGGGTTCAAAGCATACAAAACTAAGCCAAAAATATAGAAAATAATTTCCATAAAAAAAAAAAAAAAGATTCAATGACATTTACAATTCAAACTTTCCATTTCAGATATTTTTTTTCATTAAAATTGTCATAGACTCAAATAGAAAATGACTATTAAGAATTAAACCAAATTTTATTCATGATTTTTCTAATTGTTGTTTCATATTTTCTCACAAATCTCTAAGTGGATATAAGCAGCCTCAGCTGAAATTCAAAAGTACATGTTGAGAATGCAGGAAGGGGCAGATTCATGCCTTTCCCAATGACATTTATGCTAAGTGGATATCAATAGATCATTATATTGAGTTATTTCTCTTTATTAAAAAGTTAAGTATGTCATCCACATCATCAGTTCTATGACTGGGTGTGGTCATATGGTAACAGTACAGCTGAGCACCTGATCAGTTTCCTTCGTATATCTGGGTTGAAAGAGGGAGAGATTTTCATTCATGCATAGCATGTCTTGGGCAAGTAGACCTGATGGAGTTCCTCCTTCTCCAGGTCAACTGCAGCTGATGTCCTCTGACTTGAGGGCTTTCCTTAGTTACAGATACAGGGTTGTTAAATCCACTGAGAAGATTACCATTACCAAATGGTAATATGGCATGTGTCAGAAACACCTCCCACATAATAAGGCATAGCAATGGTATCTTCATCTAGCTAATGTTTCACAATTATGTGGGAGATATTTCTCCCACACCATGTATTAGTTGTTTCCTTATAAGGAAACATTTAACATTTATTCACTGAGCAACCAGCACTACTTCAGTGAAAATTTATAAAATCTTTCAGGGAAATCAGTTTCTCGAATTCAGTAACTGTTAGTGATCTTTCCAGTATTGATGGAGGTTTCCTTCCTAACCTTTTTATCAAAGTAGTATGGAATGTCAACATCTTCATTATGTCATTGTTCGCTTTTCAAGTTACATGTGCTACCTTTTCTTGCTGCTGTTGAAAGTCCTCAAATGATGTGGTTTCTATTATTTGATACAGTTCTTTGCTTTTGATTTTGTAGTACTAGTCCATGAGGGTTGAAGAAGGATGGTCCTCTCTAAAACCTACAGGATTCATTCATTTGAAGTCATTTTTAATCATTGATCTGAGAAAGTGGTCGTATACAGCTGACAGTATAAAATAGATTGCTATTTAATGACTCACTAATGACAATAACCAAAAGGACAAGAGACTTTCTGTTTTGCTATACTTTTATTGTGTAGATTAATGAACAGGTAAGAAATCTTGTACACACCTTATCCAACAGTATAAAAATTTATCAATGACTGATCGTCTGATTTGAAATTATTATAACATGAGAAGATTGTAAATTTTTCCAATATTCATAATACAAGAAATAAGGAAAATGTTGAAGCAAAAATTACAGATTATCACATTGTTCCTAAACATAAAATGTTATCATCACAATGATTATATTACTAATATTTTGCCAAAGAAATTATCAGCAACATTGAATCTATAAACCTACAATGAATCTATAAAAGCTAAAATGAAAATAACTGGTAGGTCAAAATTTATTAAATAAGAAAAGCAAAGGTTATGAACCCATGAAAACCTTTTAATTTAGCTTTAAAAAAGAAAATAAAAATATTTGTTTTTACAAGTGCAAATGATAAAAAGCAGAAAAATGATAAGCTTACAAAAAATTAATTCTTTACCTCCAGATTTCAAGGATGTCCCAGTGGTCTCAGCTTCTGAACTGTCACTGTCCGAGTCTGGCCAATCCAAAACAGCAAGGACATTTGTGTGTCGTCCAGAAGCATCCTTGATCCATGGATTAGCAGGGTCCACTTCCTGGATTGAGGCCAAAATCGCCTTACGCAACTCTTCCTGAACATCAGAAGAAAAAAAAGCGAAAGTCAATGAAAAAAAATCAATTATGGTCAATATTTTCAATAGTAATGATCTTAAAATTATAGATATAACGGCAAACGCGTTCAAGAAACTTTCATTGCAGATAGATTTTACTTAAAGGAACAATTAGCTAGCTTATCTTCAAACGCTGCTGGTGGCGCCAGGGGTGGCGGTCCCACCATAGCCACCGAAACCATGATATCACCTCTAGTCGGCGGCTGATGAAGACAGGGTATCGCACGTGCTAACAAATATTGTATGTTAAAAAATATATATATATATATATATATATATATAAAAAATGTATATTTAGGCAGCAACATTTCTTTTAAACATCTTTCATTAAATATGGGAGACAAGGAAGATTTAATTAAGTTTTTATTTAGTTTTTCCAGCATCCTTATGTTTTCCCGTTTTGTTGAAGTAAGGAAGTACAAAAACTTTCCATAATTTTTGGCCACTTCTTTAGTCATTTTCAGTGGCGTGGAGATTGTTTTTGGTGTTGTTAGTTTTTCCTCTTATTTTGACTGTTATATTTTATTTTTGCATCGTTTAGAATAGGAGCATTTATCCTACTATCAATCTGTCTTATATGAATGAAAAGTGTCACTGCTGACACCAGAGTTTGAATGTGAATCTCCAGACAATGAAGATGTAGACCACCATTTACTATAAATAGATATCATGCCACTGGCTGAATGGTTACAATTACGTGTTGTACAATCATGTGCCAAACTTTCTGCCTTTGGGTAGAGTTTTGCCTGGAGAGGTAGACCAAACCTGACCCCATGTATGCATGGGCTATGGGGAATTTTTGCCTGAGTCTATGGGCTTGGATTCAACCCCCTTAAAAATTGGCCTTGTGCCACATCCTGCCTTGTGGGGAGGTTGGTAAATACTGGTTACAATTATGTGTTTGACTATTGTGTTAAAGTTGAGTATCCCATGTTTCATTTAACAATGGAAAAGATTTTTTTTTAAATAGATGCTCATGCAAATTCCAGTCATGCTCAACATGTGAATGCTCAGAATAAATGTGCTTATTGAAAACAATGCAAAAATAAAATACAAGTCAAAACAAGAGGAAAATCTAACACCACCAAAAACAAAACCCCTTTGAAAATGGCTAAAGAAATGGCCAAAAGTGCTTGGGACAATAAAAATTATTGAAAATGTCTGTACTCCCTTATACCTTCAAAGGAGAAAAATGTAAGAATGCTGGAAAAACTGAATAAAAACTTAATTAAATCTTCCTTGTCTGCCATATTTAATGATTATATATATATATATATATATATATATATATATATATATATTATAAATTAATTGATTTAAAATATGTTTTTTTTTTCGCTACACAGTCCTAACCATGTTTCAAAAATGGAAGCTAAAAGCCCCGAATTTAATTTTGTAATTAAATTAAAGACATTAGTTCCATTTCATCATCAAGCAAATTTTGAAGTCTATAAGAACACCGGATTATATATCTTACTGTTCTTTCTTTTTATTTAGATATACATATATAAGTTTTGAACAATTAAACTTTTCAGACACACTGGGTTGTATATTGATATTTTTTTGTTTTATTATTTCAATTACGTTCCTCGACTAGTTTTGGCCAGCATGGCCATAATCAGAAGAAAAAAAATTCCTGGTTGTTAGTAACAGTGGACTATGGGAGTGAATGACTGTTTCTGAAGAAAGTGAACTTTATATGTAGTTTTCATTTGTTTTTTTTTATCGTTAATTTTGGTCAGTCCTTGTGTTGGTCAAACAACCTCTCTCTCTCTCTATTTTATATATATATATATATATATATATATATATGACATACAAATAAACTCAGTTCATCAAAATATCTGCTGAGGATTAGATGAAAAAACATCTGTAAAACTCAAAGTAAGGACTTAAATTAGTGTCCATAGTATCCTCAGCATCCTTCTGTAGGATCACATTTCTGTTGATTCGAGCCTCTTCTTCATCTTTGAGAAAATTGTCCAGCACTCACTACCATACAAGAGGACAGATATCACATAGCAGTTTAGTACTCTTTTCCTTGCTTCTAGCATAGTTTTTCTATATCTTAATACTCTATACCAATATGCCCTCAGACCTTAGTCTCACACTTTCTATCCTCTGTTAAAACACAGATATTGTTTGCCTTGCTGTAAGCATCTCTGTAGTTGAACAGTAAAGGCATGTCTAGCTAAAAGGTGGTTCCATAGATTGAAGAGAGTGCAGGTTCAATCTGTACTAAGAGTTATATTTTTTGTAATAAGACTTTCACAATCTAAGACAGAAGACATTAATTCCACTGTTTGGAAAAAGAGATATCTACTGAAATATGTGTACCTACTAAAAATAATAATTATATTAATAATGTTGAATTAAAAAAGGCACAATATGCATAGAACTTAAAACGATTACTTGGTTACTTATTTTAGTGCCTCATTTTACTTAAAATTATTGCCACATGAACCCAACAATAGTCAGTGCATTATTTAAACAAATTAGTTGTAAATAATCAACAGCAACTTTTTATAGCCATATGTCATTTATATTATTGCCAACTAAAACTGCTTTTACATTTATATAAGTAGTAATCATTCTAAGTAACCTTGGTTAATCAAAATAAGTGCTGCATAATTTGTTACGTTTACAAAGTATCAATAGTAGTTAGTATTTATTCATATACACACATACAAAAGCTTTTTTTAATAGCATCAATATTCATAGAACTTAAAACAGTTACTTGTTCTTTTAAATGAGTCATTTTTACTTATAATTATTGCCACATGACACAAACAATAGTGCATTATTTAAACAAATTAGTTGTAAATAATCAACAGTGGCTTTTTATAGCCATCTGTCACTTATGTCATTCCCTTTTACATTTACATAAGCAGTGAAGTAAATCTTATAAGAAATGTGGTTAATCAAAATAAGTGGTATGTATGTTACTTGTATCAAGAAATCAATTCATTAAATTTAACCTGCCTGTTAATATATCATTTTCTTACAAACTGACATCTTATAGAATATTTTATATTGTTGTGATTTGAATGTGAAAGACTTAAGCAATCTTATGAAACTGTTTCAATTTAAATTTATAGCTTATAATTAATACAGGATTTCTATCACCCCTTTCTATATATATATATATATATATATATATATATATATATATATATATATATATATATGTATATATAAATAAAAAGAAAGAACAGTAAGATATATAATCCGGTGTTCTTATAGATATTTTTATTTTTACAAAATAGTGCTCAATGTAAATTTACAGAGCATTAATATTATCTGTAACCTTGGAAACGTGAATTATGATTTTAACCGTGTCTTTAAAACCCAGTAATTTTAAAAGTTACTCCAAAATTTGCTTGAGGATGAAATGGAACTAATGTCTTTAATTTAATTACAAAATTAAATTCGTAGCTTTTAGCTTCCATTTTTGAAACATGGTTAGAACTGTGTAGTGAAAAAAAAAATCAATTTTTTTAAATATAATATATATATATATATATATATATATATATATATATATATATATAAACCCTAAGTGTTTTGAATTTTTTGATTTAATGAGATATTTATTTCACTTCCCTTAGATTAAGAAGTTTTAAACCTGAGTCTTAGTATGCATGAATGCAGTCCACAATAAAAAAAATTAACTGTTCAGATTTGCTTAAATCTAGTATAGGTATTTGTATAAATAGGAAGATGGGCAGTCAAAAAAGAGGTCACTTAGTAATTTATATTTAACCAGATGCATGTAGATACATTCATTTTGTTAGGAAAACAATGGATATGTTTACTCATTTTCATTTATTAGGCAATTAATTAATTAATGTCCACCATAGTTTACCTTTCCTTACACATCAAGCTTCAAGAATATCTAGAATAGCATTTTCAAATCAAAAATTGGAAAACTTAACAATATTTTTCCTCCATGTTACTTCTGTGTATAAGTTATGAAATAAAATCTCCACATTTACTTTGATTATCTTTACCTTTGTATTTATATAGATAGATATTTAAAAAAAAAAACAAAAAAAAACCAGGTCAAACATAAAAAGTACTTAATTACCAATTTGCATGATCAGCAATCTATAAAACTGTACTCTGAATAAGGGAATTTCAAAATGCTTTAATACAGCAAAAATACTAACAAAGGTCTATTGTTTTTGTAGTATAAACGTATTGTTTCTATAGTATTTGTCTAGTAAAGGCCTATTGTTAATATAGTATTTATATAAGCCTGATGTTAGTATATTTATCTAGTATCAGCTTATTGCTAGTATCTTCTCCAATGTGCCTTATCTCCTCAAGATATGGATGGGTGATCATTGTTCTCCATAATGAACATATTCTTTGTAGGGCTTAGTAACGTTTGTCTTTTAACTATTCCTCCCAATCTGTTCTGACATAAATTTGTTAAGTATATTACTTGATGTTTCCCTATGTTTCTCTTGACTTCAATAAGTCCTGTGAGTGTCAAATTCTCCAAGCTTTCTTTCCTCATTATATTAGTGATCTCACGTCTGAAGTTTTAACTTTAACATTCTGAGAATGATGTGAATAAACATTTTGTAATATTAACAAAAACCATTCACAACTACTTATGACTGAAAAGAATGTTTAGCTGTCATCTTTTATTCATTAATATCCTTGTTCCTTTCATATTCTATTGGTAAGAAGGAAGTTCCACTCAAACAGCTTTTCTGGATAACCACTACTTTGTGGAACAGACTCTCAAGAGGATACATCTGATAGTGACTGGAGATGGTCAAAAGGATTCAGACGGAAACACAAACTTTAGACAGTTTCTTTACAAATTTGATCTGGATATGTGACAAAATTCTTAAATTTGAAAAATATAATAAGAAAATTAAACAAACCTTGTCAGTTGAATTTAATAAAAATTTATCTTAATTGATTCTAGCAACCTAAATTATACAGTA